GGACAAGATTTTGTCATCATCAAATACAAAAACCTTGTCGAAACATTGTACATTTGCCGTTATGTTAAACTAATATTAAAGTTTTTCTTCATTACCCATTCAAGCCGTCTCCAGCCATTATAGGGCATCCTTTACTTCGCATGTAAAGTGATTTTTAGTGACTTATATTCAAAAATGAATTAAACTACTTTTTGTTTATGTTATACCAATTAGTATATCATAAAATTATAGCTAATAATGCATATTTAAATAGTATAGTAAGTTTTAAGTTCTAAAATTTCATAAGGCAATATTAAAAAAATCCTGAATTTCTCCTAGTGTGAGAAATGTGACATTTTCTTCTTCAGGCATATCCTCTTCTCTACTTTATTCACCACCCCTCCAATAAGTACAAAATTTAACGTAAATGGCTCACTATATTATTGTCATCGCTCAGACAAATCATAATTTTTATAGTCTTCAATCCTCTTTGGTTACAGAGCCATCAAATAGAAAATCAGAGCCCTCTTGCCACACTCGCCTTTCACATCCTCTCTTTCAGGATTTGTTAATAGATTTAATACTGTATTAATTATAACCAACAGAAAACCAAGTTTTTCATCTATCAAATAATGTATTATATTATGTTTTCTGAACAGAGAATTGTAAATTTCTCTTTTAGTACAAGCTTTGTTCCAATGGGAAACATATCGCCTAGCTTGGAAGAATTTGTAACAATTCTTGTCGCATAGTTAGAAAGACAGAAAAAATGTGATACTTATGGGACATTGTCTGTATTTTGCATGTTATTATTCTAAGTTCTTTGGTGCATTATTTAATTGAATAAAAATTATTTAGTGCATTACTACCATTAGTATAAAAAAGTAGGATTAAGTGTCATCGACAGTCAACTGCAAAAAAAAAAACAAAAAAAACAGGTACGTATTTTTTCTTGTTTTTAATGTGTATTTTTTTATTTATTATAAAAGTAAATAAAATATAAAAATAGGAATCTCTTTAAGTTAGTTAAAGTTAGATTAGGTAAAACAAATAATAACATTATAATAAAAATGTTTCACCAGGCATGCACACAAGCAGCTCGGAGTAGCTCATGGGTATTGTGATTTCACAGCATAATTTTAGCTCCACGTTCCCCAAGTGATTTACACCTTATAATGGCATGAACAGTAGTTAGACACCTTTTAAAGAGCGACAAGCAATAAATTTTAAGTATAAGTAGATGTATACTGTTACGAGTTTTAAGCTACTGAAGATAAACGAATGTAGTTTCATGTTAGATTTGAAGTCATTGTAGAAAGAAAAAGGGTAATTTGGATTTTTTTTTTGGGTGGTTAAAATATCAGTCAAATTGACCAACTTTGTATAGTTTAGATAGAGAAAATAACAGATAAAATAGAAAGTTCTACTGAAAACAAACATTTGAAATGTACTTTGGAGGCTTTAGAGATTACACAAATAGAATTTGATATTTTTGAGATGAAGAAAACTATCTTTAATATTAACATGAAAATCACTTTGCATTCAGACTAGTCAAGAAAAAGACTTGATTTATTTATGGACAAATTCTTTTTAGTTTATTAAAACGTTTCACTAAATATCGGTTTTTTTGTATGTGAAAGACTTGTAATGTTTACTGAAAGTCTGCCAAATTTTGTGAAAATATACAATCTATATTAAAAGTTAGTGGTATCAAAACTCTAATGACTTTAAACAAGTACAAAGTAGTTGGTTAATTCGACCAAGCCTGTGTAGAGAGTTAATGGGAATATCATTCTCATTTTGTACTTGTGACAGAACTCAGGTTGGTATACAGAGCAGACTCTCTAGTTCTTTGTCATAAATGTAAGGTAGTAGAGCTGACATTTATACTAAAGAATTAGTGAACATTCATAACCTACTTTTTACATCACTGCTCTACCGCTGAGTTGGTTGGTTGTTTGGTGCTTTGTGGTGCAAAGCAACGAGGCTATCTGCACCAAACAACCAGTAGAAACAGTGAAAGTAAATTAGAATAAAATGCAAAAATACAGCTAGTTAAAACCAAAATATGTCGATAAAAAATTATATACAATTAAAAAGACCCATAGTGCATAAAAAATTAAAAATACAATCTAGTCGGACAGTGTCACCGTTACCAATGACACTGTCCAACGTCAGGGGTAAACTCTTAAAAAATGCATGTCTAAAATGGTGCCGTCACTCATGGTCGTAACAATGGCACAACAGTAAAATGTGGGCTATTGTGACTTGAGTGTCACAATGGCTACACATTGTTGGGTCAATACCGGATAAAAGAAAATGATGGGTTAAAAAACTGTGACCAATGCCTAGCCTTGCCAGGACAACTTCCGATCCTTACGGAAGCAAGACGGCCAAAGACCAACAGAAGGTTTGATCTGGAAAATCTTGTTATGGCTCACCCCAAGTTGACTGCCAAATGGCACGAAGCCACGCCTTGAAGACAAGGACCGTAGTCCATGAACGGGACAGGCAGGGCCGTGACGGCAACAGAGCAGACGGACTTAGCTGCAGTGTCAACGAGCTCGTTCCTGTGAATACCGACGTAGCTGGATGGAAGCAGAAGATAAAGAAAATTGGGCCAGTCGTTGTTGAATATAGATGAGAACAGGGTGAGAACTGACGTTAAGAGATTCTAGGGCCAGTAGAGAGCTAAGATAATTAGTGTAAATAGTACAATTACTGTACTGCATAGCTTCTACATGATCCAGGACAAGAGAAATGGCACACAACTCGGCAGTGAACACAGAAACTATAGAGGGGATCCTGCGAGCAACTACCGAGCCACAGCACACCATGGCAGAACCTACCGAGTCACCCAATTTCGAACCATCCGTGTAAATAGGAAGAGAAGAATGGCTTGAAAGATGTTCAGCAAAAAGAAGACGATACTTCCAATCGAGAGTATCCGCCTTCCTCAGATGACTCAGTGAAAGGTCACAGGAAGGGATGGTAATAAGCCATGGTGGAATGGGTTGATCATTGGGGACAGCAATGTTATCCAATGCTAGACCCAATTCAGCCAGTTGCGCCCGGATACAAAGGCCAAAGGGAGGAATAGCAGACCGTCTGTTCTGAAAGAGCATTGTCCACAGAGGAAGAAAGACAATCCCAGGTGGGATGCCGTGATAAGGATCGAAGCTTGGTAGCATATTGTAAAGAAAGATGCAAATGACGGAGGTGAAGAGGAGGTTCGTGGGACTCTGTCTACAAACTCTGGACTGGAAAAGTGCAAAAAGACATGGTGCAGAGCCGAAGCCCCAGATGGTGAATGGGGGTCCAGCATCTTCAAAGCCAAGGTCCTGGCAGAACCATAGACCAAAGACGTATAGTCCAGTTTGGATCAAATCAGGGCACAATAGATCCTGAGCATAGAACATCAATCCGCTCCCCAAAAACTTAAAGAGAAAACACGGAGCCCTTGCACACTTGACACATAGTGCTTGATATGTGGAATGAAGCTAAGCTTATGGTCAAAAATAAGCCCCAGGAACTTTGCCTAAGGGACCACATGAATAACTATATCGCCGAGACGGAACCTGGGATCAGGATGGTGACCCCGTTGGTGGCAAAAATGCATGCAAACGGTTTTGGAAAAAGAAAATTTAAAACCATTTGCAGTGGTCCACCTCAACAATCCATTGAGGGCAGTCTGAAGCTGCCACTCAATAAACTTCATGTTCAACGACTGACACGAGATGTGAAAGTCGTCGACATAGAACCCATTTGCAACGGTCGGAGGAAGATTATTAGTGAGGGAATTAATTTTAACATTAAAAGTGTGACACTCATGACACAGCCCTGAGGGACTCCAAGTTCCTGTGGAAAGGAATGGGAAAGAGTTGAACCCACATGAACTTGGAATTGTCTGTTCAGTAAAAATGTTTTAAATAAAAATGGGTAAATGGCCACATAACCCATAGGAGTGGAGGTCCTGCAAAATTCCATACCTCCATGTAGTGTCATATGTCTTCTCGAGATTGAAGAACAAAGAAACAAGGTGTTCTCTCTTGAGAAAGGCTTCTCTGATCAATGTTTTAAGTCGAATCAGATGGTCCATGGTGGAGCGCTGTCGACAGAACCCACACTGGGTGGGTGAGAGGAGTGTGTTCAATTCCAGGAACCAAACAAGATGAGCATTAACCATCCTCTCTAGGACCTTACAAAGACAACTAGTCAAAGCGATGGGACGATAATTAGAAGTAATCTTGGGATCCTTCCCAGGTTGAGAGAAAAGGAGGACAATAGTC